CCCCCCCCCCCCCCCGCTCCCTTTCTATACCGGAGACCTCAGCTTTTTCTTCATCCTCAACATCACTCGACCTCTTCTTCGTTCTCGTCGTCGCCCTCGTCGTCGTCGTCGTCGTCATCGTCGTTGTCGTCGTCTTCGTCGTCGTCGTCGCCGCGTCGTCGGTACGCGCCGCGACTCGTTATGGAGAGCACACGAGATATTGTTGCTCATATATGTGGAGAGTACCAGGGAAGTGCATCGTGCTTGTACTATGCAGATGATTCCGCGATATGGGCTATTCATTGTGAGTCATTTAAGAATTTATACGCGATGGGTACACATCTATATATACACGGCCGAGCCGTGATATGTTATTATATTGCGTATTGAAAGCTCCAACGTACACAGTGTATTGCGCGCGCGAGAAAAAGAGAAAGGAGAGAGAATCATAAAATCTGCACCGATCGCCGCAATATTCCTGTACTCGCCAATACTATTCAAAAAATTATGGTATCTAAACAGATTTGCTATTTGAATGACGTGAAAGACTACGAGAGGAATCTCGGTCTCACTATAACTGTATATATACTTAATAGAGATATATCTTTCCTTAACAATTTTTTTAACTAATCCCTATTTTTCTTTATAATACACACAAATACACAGAAAAATATTTAGTACTTTCGGGAAAAATGTATTTAATTTTCTGTCCTCCACACCAGACTTGCATATCTGTAATACTGACAGTGAGATATATTGAGAGATATCTGATTTAAAATAATAATAATATACAGATCAGGAGCGTGAAAGTAAATACTGGATGTTTTATGCGTAAACAATTTTTTTTATGTTATAAATTCGTATCCTACATTAATAACATACAAACGTTTCGATGTTTCTATTTATATTGTATATATATAGGTCATCCTCAGTATTTCAAATTAAAATTAGAAACATTAATTAATTTCACACATTAAATAAAAATTAATTATATTTCTACCGTTCAATTTGATTGATCTCCAGTTTTCAGATGATCCATTCAAAAGAATCAAATGTAGAAATGTAACTAAATTTTGTTTAATGTGAAATTAATATTTAATGTAACCTTTGTAATTTTAATTTAAAATACTTAGGACCTGACAGAAATGTCTAAATATTATTATCGTAGAATACGAATATATAAAATTATTTATACGTAAAACATCCGACGTTGGCTTTCATACTACAATATCTGTTATTATTGATTTAATCATATATTATATATTTCTTGTCTATTATATGCTGTATAAAAATATAATGTATTAAAAAAATATTTTAGTTTTATAATTATATGCGATATCTTATATCAAAATATTAAAAAAATCATCCTATGATTTTTTAATATGAACAAAATTTCAGATAAATATAATCTCAGTAAATTTACAAGATGATCGACAAAATCTAATGAGGAATAGACTCAAAAATATAATTTCTACATGTCAAACGCTCACTAAGTTTACTCGAGCAAGGTGTATTATATTTCTTTGACGGTGTCCTGATTTCACAATGAGAACTAACGCGTAATCGCACGTCGATCGATCAATTGATCCGTACGAGATTAACATTCCGATTACACGATATGAGGCGATACTTCCTGTGGAGTTTCCGAGCGCGTTACGTGCAGTATGTACCAGCGACGGCCTCGGCGGCCTCGACGGCGGCTGCGATTACGATCGTCGGCGTGGTCTTTGCCGGAATACCGATGAATAAATAGGGGAGAGTCGTGATAAGCGCCTGGAGCCGTAGCGCGCCGGCACGCATTATGCATGCGCGAGAGCGAGAGTAAATGACGGAGGTGGCAGCGCTGATGATGGTGATGATGCAAAACGCGATGATAATAATAACGACGACGTGGACGTCGTCGGGAATGAAACGGACACGCGTCTGCCTGTCTGCTTGCGAGGGGGCGAGTTTTTCCAAGCCGTCGAGGCATTGCGCCTACGTTACATCCCGTGAATAGAGTAGTAGAATAGAAGACCACGACGATCGATCAATTGTGTGTAATTGGCGAAACGACGATTAACATAAATGGTAAAAGCAGGTGGCTTTCATCTATTACATTTTGTCGCGTTGAAATCTCTGAGAAACTGAGTGTCAATTGATAAAGTTTCACACGATTCGTATGGATCTACGCCACACGATTGGATTATAATCGTGATAATAAGTAATCTCATTTGATGTTTTTTCTCGATATCGTATATCATGGTGAAAGTTTTATTTACAACCAACGTTAATCTTTTATTTTTATAAATAAAAATATTCTTCAATAAAAAATGTTTTATTAGTACTATAAAATACTCTTATAAAATCATTTCACAATTATTTGTCATATGTTTTTATATCTTTGATTGTTTAAATACGATATCCAGTCAGAAAAAAGCCGTTATTTTTTAAAAGAGGATTTCAGTTCCAGAAATGTCTCTTATTTCTATCTATATTTTAACATATCCATAGCTTATTAAGATTATCGATCGAAGGAAGGCGCTTGATTGTGTTTCATTATTAATAAACGTGTAGAAATATTATAGAAATCAAGCCGCGCATGTTGTTTTTTAGGAATATTTTGATCTCGGTCGTGACTTGATTTGATTTAGAGATATTCGAAACCATTATTGCAATGGCATCGAAATGAAACTATCGCGAAGAAGCGTCATGGAAGAATGCCAATTATGATCTAATAGTTTCCCCTTGTCCACCTCGTTTTCGAGCTATAAATTCTTGTGAATCGTATAACGGTTGGATATAATCCTCCACCGGGATCTACGAAGTAAATTATGCTCGAAGAGGTTCGGATGAGAGAAAGTGGTAGTTATATAGAGATAGTACTTCGAAAGACGCTGAGTCGCTGAATATAACATGCGATTTTTCTGTTTTGGCTTAGGAGGATTATAGTCAACGCAGACGCTTATCGACACCTAGTGGCAGTCCGAGCCCTCCCAGACCGACCAGACTCTCGAGATCCACCGGCACTCTTACTAGAGAAGAAGAGTCCTTCTGCGAGTCCAGCAACACCCTAACCAGGGACAACCAGGGCCAAGAGGCGGAGAGAAAGGGTTGGTTCAAGTCCCTCTCGAGGAAGAATAAATCCAATGCTACGGTACGAAGCGTCATTTTCTATTTTTCATAAATTAATTTTATTTCTTTACACAGCTTTCCTATTTTTGCTCGTCTCTCTTTATTCCTATTATATACAATAACCCTCCTAAAAGAATCAATTCTACGATTAAGACATAAGAAAGCATTTCATATTTTTAATTGATCATCTAATAAATAAATAATAATGATTACTAAAACTTTAATGCAACAACCCAAACCTCACTGCTTGCAGTTTCGCATTTAATTGTTTTATTTAATCTGGACTAAATACATATAATTAATAACATATATAAGCGAAATATTTTTATCGGTTAACGTTGTTTTTAAGTTCGTATCAAGTATTGTATTTAGATCCTTAAAGACTTCTTTTCGTGTGTCTTTCTTCAAAATTGACGAGTCAGGTGGGCGAGAAGGGTTATATTTGGAATTGATCAGAAACGCGGCAAATCATCCCTCCGAAAGGTTTCGAATCTTTTTTAAGAGTATTATCCGATAACGAGCGGACTCTCCTAGATCGTGCCGTGGTTATCTCGCGCGCAACTCGCGCACCAGTCCCGTGCGCATTCATCAGTCAGATCGCGGGTCGCTGCGCGGAGCCATTAGGGCAGCGCAACCTCCAATTACCGGTTTGATTAAATGCTTAACTAACTCCGCGCTCTGTGGTTTAATTTAATCGCGAGATTAAGTGCCGATCAGGAGGTTGCTTGCCTAGCCCTATAAGCCGACCATCGTCCCGCGCGCCCGCGCGCGCACGGGAATAATCTCTGTCAGATCCCGATTCTCCTCCGATCTTAGGCAGCGGAAAGGAGAGGAGAGGAGAGGAGACGCCGCGCGCGCGCTCGTTCAAGATGATTGCGTGCGTATGAATCTCGCCGTGGACGATGATCTATCGGATGAGTCGGCCCGGGGAGAATCATGACTCACGAAGGCGCCGTGCGATGCAACCACGGGGGGAGACCGTGATTTTTGCGAACCGCGGGAAGAATACAGCTTTGTACACGCTCGCGCGATTTTCTTCCAGCCGATCGAGAGACGGGGCTGGATTCCGAAAAATGGCGACCTTCGATGGAGGCCAGTCTGACTTTGCGTTCGTCTCAAACAATTGACAAAGAAGAGTCCGATCTACTACGTTACTGTTTCGCGTCGTATTCTATTTTCCCGTTAATAGCTTGAAGCGTCCTTAATCTCCTTATCCTTAATCTTATTATTCCCAATAGACAATTAATATAGAAAGCAAATCAATTTTATTGGATAAAAACTCTTTTATCCACTTAACCTTTCGTTAAACATATTTATATTATATTGCATATTCCATCAGATAAAAAATATTGATTATCATTTTACAAATCTATTAAGATTTTAATTAAAATAGTTTTCGCTGAACTCTTTATGGGTTTCTAATAACAGTGTGAGGAATCTTGATAATGGAAAATATAAAAGAAGTAAGTAGGTTAAACATACGAAAACTTCTTTCTATGCCGTTTACATCTAAAAAAATAATTTTTTTGAAAGAGATGATCTCACGAAGAATTAGTTAAACTATAGTCAAAGTTAATCGAGAACTGGCGAAACCGCCCCTAAAAGTCAGGAAACTGAAGCCAAGTATGTGCTTAGCTATGAAAATTACATAGTGCTACAGAATAATATATCATTATAGCGATACGTTTCAATCTATCGCACTTGCAAAGTCCGTCTTCTGTGCGCGAAATTATAACGTTCGATAAATCGATATTTGGAATAAGCGGGCGTAATTGTTATACGCAGAAATAATCTATACGTGGCTATATTTGGTGTCTCCTCCTCTCTCTCGAGATCGTGAATAATGAAGCGTCGATAACTTTGCAGCCGGTGGATAAAAAGCCAAGAATACCCGAGAGCGAGATCTTGACGACCGGCACCGAGGATGAGGAAGCTTCCTCTGCGCCTGAACGAGTTTCCGTGCAAAAGAATCTCCGCTTCTTCGGCGATACGGATCAGGAGTCCGTCTCGTCCAACAGAGACCGCAGGTAAATGCTGTAATATAAGCCGCGTATGCACGACCGGTTAAATATTTCGTGCAAGAGTGATTTAAATATTTCGACTGTCGTCTGGTTGACTTTTTATCGTCATTGCGTTTTGCTCTAATTAATATCATTATAAACAAAACTACAGTCATCTATTTTTCCTATTCATTTTGCTTCAATTATTTTACGCATATATCGGATATTATTTTTTAAATGTCCGATTATATTTAACCAGATTATATTAAATATTCTAAATATGTAATTGTTTTTTTTTTTTTTCAAAATTAAAGGATCTTACATATTCTTATAAAAAAGAATTTATACATGTACTAAAAAAGTGATGTTATATCACCATTTTAATTGAAAATAATTTTGTTGATTTAATAACATTAATAAAACAAATATGGCATTCTCTTATTTTAATAAAATTGTATTAATTTCATTAAGTATTGTTAAATCAACAAGATTATTTTCAAATAAAATATTACTGTTGATATAACATTATTTCTTTTTCAGTATATATTAAATAGAAAAAATATAATTTAGGATATACATATATCTATCACGTAAATTTTTTCCTGTGGCGAAAACGTGAAAAGTAAAAATTTTGTATATTGTGTATATATATATAGATACACATATATAAAAATTTTAACATTTTACATTTCTACTCTAGAAAAAAAATTACGTGACCGATACCCGGAAGAGATCATAAAAAGGTGTAATTAATTCAATTAATTATTTCAGAAACAAACGAGTTGACGACCATGCCCGCTCGAGGCGTGATGTCACGAATTCGAACCGCTATAATTTGGGTATCATATCAGCCCCAAGGAAATCTTCGAGACTCGCTGAAAGCGCATTGTCTTCGGGCGAGAGTACAACGGGTGATAGTAGCCAGCAAAGTCAAAACTCTCAGAGATCGCAGAGATCTGTGGTGTATCTCCATGCTGCTACAGGTACAATAAAAATATAATACTTCTCCAATATAGCATTCAAAATTATTTTGATTTTATGTTTTATTCCAAGAGATTTGCAACACTATAATTTATTTTTTAGGGCAATATATTTAATCTCTTGTTTTAAAAAATCTAATAACCAAAAATACAAAAAATAAAGAATTGTAAATTTAAATAAAAATTTTATTTAAGTCAATTATAGCAAAAATACTAAAATTATTGGTAATTATTCGTATTCTATAATAAATAAACGAGATATCTTTTGTGAATTATAACCTGGACAGATAAGTAAAATAATATTTTCTAAATTGAAAATTAGAAAGTAATAAAAATATGACGCTCTATATTAAATTTTTGCTAAGGAAATATTGACCAATCCACTTAAAAAAGATATATATGAACTTCTCCAATATCTTGATATAATGTTTAGCTGAAAAGTTATCACTGCCAATAATAGACATGCGCTATGAAGCGTATCGTTCATTGAACGCTTGAATTCTGCAATACTTGTCACATTTGCGTCATTGAAAATTTATTTTAAAAAAATATATAATACACTGAACACTGGTCAGATATTTAAAGTTATTTAACTAGTAATCTATATATGAATAATGTTTAGCAGTGAAAGTGTAGAAAATGTCGTCAAGCGTAACCGCACTCTAATTACGACTCAATATCTGCATTCCAGTCGGCGAAATACCAGGCCCGAACGAACGACGCCGGGCAGCAAGTCGCGAGGAGTTAAATCGACCGTTGCAATCACACACGAGAACGGTGTCGAGAAGCGTGAGCGTCCTTGCTCCGTGGAAGCCGCGACATTATAGGGAACCGTTCGAGATCAACTACGATCAGCAACAGCATGCAAAACCGATCGCGACCATGAGACGCAGACAACGAAGCCGCGAAACCCTCAGTCGTCGAGGAAAAGAAGCTCGGCGAAGCAAAGATAATAATCTTTCTAAAACAAGTAAATGATCTTACTCTTGAGTAAAGTAACATAATATAATTTAATCTATTAGATAGAATATATATGCAAATCTTTAAAGAGAGAGAATTAACTGGTAAATGGCAATACATAATGTATCTTTTTTTTCTATTTAATTTTAATTAATAAAAATTCTTGAAAAATTTGATAGTAAGTGTTTCACTAAGTGAACAATAACATTGTATCTTTTAATATGAGAGAGAGAATGAGATATTTGTACAATGAACTTGATTAATTATTAAATAGATTTATTCCTTTGCAAATATTTTTAAAGTATAATATATAAAAAAATTGAATTTATATTTTTTTCAAGTTGTTAAGAAAAATGAAATAAATTTAATTAAAACTTAATCATTAAGGAGTGCTGAATTGTGCAAATAATCTGAACTAATGCTAAATTATTTGAATTTGTTAGTTCTCTTCGGTTTATACTTTATCCAATTAGTACCAATTTATTATATATCTATGTAATAATCCTGTAAACGAAAATATCTATGTCATTCATTGCAGGTACGATCAATCGCAGCACATTAAAATCGAAGGACAAGCAGAAAGTGGATAGAACTGTTTCCACGGAATCGCTGGCCACCAAATCGCGAGGCATAGGCTCCAAAGTGGAATTAAACAGATCCACGTCCGTGCCCCGTGACCCGAACAAGAGTGCAGGATGGTTCAAGCTAAAGAGCAAGAAGTCCCGCGCTTGAATTGGACGGCCATTGATCAATGCTAGTCTCGAGTTTCATAAGTGTAATCCGTAATTTCGTAGGCGATTAATAAGCGTCGATATCCGGCGCGCGCTGATTAATAACGACGCGACTTATCGATAATATACACCTTTTAACATGCACATCGCGCGAATGTCGATTGCGACCACGCGAATTTTTAATTTTTTAACCGAGTATATGATTGCGACAACGACGTGTAAATTAATTGCTGTCAACACGTTAATCGATTTTGCGAATTTATGGAATTTCTGTGCTACCTAAGACACAAAGTTTTAATCCCCGTATAAATAGATCTATATATCTATACGTAACAGAATAAAAACAATTATCCAAATATATACATAGGCACATGCGAAAAAGATTTGAACCTCACTTACGCGTCAAATTAATATTATACTCTTCGCACATTAAATAATAACATTCTTTGTAACAAAAAAGATTGCAAAAGAATGATCGGAAATGTAAACTCTTGAGAAGTATAAAATTAAATATAAAGTATATTTTAAAATGAGAATTTTCTCAATATGTCGAATGTTACTTCATTTTAATAGCTTTCTCTCTGCCAAATTTAACAGATTAAATTTGTTGCAAATGATGAGATTGCGTTTATAATATGTTCTCACATACATTGTGAATTAACATTTCATCGTGCATTAACTTTTGTTTTTCCTTCAGAACTTGACAAAAGGTGCTTTTAACATTTGATGTTTTTCCCATTTTTACGTAATTAAATCCATGTGCGTTACGCATTTCTGAAAAATTAACGCGTCACTTTATTCTACCGTGAATCAAAGTGCCATCTTCATTTCTCTACATTCTTAGTATATATTATACATTCTCTATTAATGAATAAAAATTTTCAAATATATATTCAGTAATAAGCAATATTTTTCTACGATAAACATTAGTGAGAAATTAAAAAAAAATTTCTAAATTTCATTTCGACAATCGAAAGACTATTTCGAATTATAAAACAGACAGTTACGTAGCGATATCTACTGAATGTTTTCCTGTGCAAAGATCAATCTCATCTTTGCATGCTTATTGTATATAAATATTTGTGTTGATAATCATAATTCTTAATCTATTTTTACTAGGACCTATTGTGTTTTCATTATATATATATATATATATATATATATATATACAATTCTTTGTACATTCATGGATCACAGATTACACATGCACTGTTGCGAAATTTCCACGTTCGACACAAGTCGAGAGATTCTTTTATCATTTTTTATAACAGTGTAGAGAAATAAAACGCGCGACGCTAGACATTATCTGTTGTACTGTGATACGCTTTTGCGTGTGGACAAAGAAACAAATTAAATACGGCGACATAGTCATCTTGCACCATAATTACTATTTCATTCCTACCCGGTGCTATATACGTGTGTGTGTGTACATATGGATCATTAAACGATATGCATGTAAATATCATGAATATATATTGACGATATTGTACGGAATTAAGAATAAAATCTATTACCTATTAACACAGACATTGCTCCTCTTTATAAGATGCGTGAAAACCGAGATGGAGTATTTTATAACAAGATTAATAAACGCAATGATGTAAACTAGCATCATTAATAATAAAATATATTAATGTTAAATGCTTTATATTATTAAAAAGCAAAAAAGTGAATATCATGAGTTTGCTTTGTTAGAAGAATTTCAATTCATTGTATTAATCATTGTGGTACTTACATTACACAGGATGGATGTGGATTAATCGGCAGGTAGTATGGATGAACAGGAAAAGGAAGGGTAACAATGTGTGCTTAATGATCGTCATCTTCAGTGTACAAATTATAATTCCTCGGTTTTATTCAGTTTATCCCAACAACATAATATGGTTCCACACAGCACAAGTATCATTCCCAGATACGTATCTGAAATGTGAAGCAGATTGTAAAGCAAGTGATTCAAAGCATTCTCTAACTATAAAGATAAGCTTGCGTGTACTCACTTCTATGCACTTTTTCCTCGCCCAGGAACCAGCCTGTGATTGCAGTAAATACGAAGGTAAGAGAATTTGAAACTGGCACAGCCAGAGATAGGTCACTGCTTTGCAGGGTTAAGAAGTATAATATTGAACCGCATTGATTAAGGAGAAACGGCACAATGTACTGTGTAAAAAAAATTAAATGAATTATGAATACTGTTATTCTCAGCAAATACTATTAAGCGGGGAGCACAGACTTTTGCATAATGCATAATACATATACATATAAGGAATTTCATTGGCCCATTTTCTTATGCATGAGTCAATGGGCCAATCAAATTCTTTATGTATATGGTTTATGCGTTATGCAAAAGTCTGTGCTCCCCGCTTTACTCCTAACAAAGATATTTACTAAAATCTCGTAAAAAAAAATCCCTGAGAATTTCCAGATTTTCCTACCACTTTTATTCAAAATTCGAAACAAGATTAAAGAATTTTTTAATGCAATTTTAATGGAATAAAGGAATGAAATTAGAGTGCAAACAACGCAAATAAAATATACATTAAAAATTCGTAGAAGACAGGAGTTCCACAATAAATACACTTTTGACTGTATCTATCATTTTCTACAATTGGAGCCATGAAACTTACAGGATATAAAATATGTATGTGAACTACTCTATTCTGCCGAGTCTTTTACTGTCACTTTAATTTCTTTTTAATAAAAACGCGCGGAAAACAAAAATGTATGTAAACATACACAAATGTATATACCATACTTATTACTAACATTTTGCATCATCAAAAACTAATGTTTAAAAAAAATAGAATTTAAATTTGAAAGTAAAATATTCAAAATTTCCATAAATCCCAACAATAACATTTCATGAAAAAATTTCTGATTTTCGAGAATGAAAAATCTAAAAACTCTAGGTCTCTCTCTCTTCTATAGGTTTTTCTTAGAGAATAATAAATATCCTATAAGCTATACAAAATTATTTTTAATATTATGACAGCTATTTGATAAGTATGTGCAAAGTCAAAAGATGGTACTTGTAGTATTACAATGTTCAAAACTCTCAGTTTCTGGTATCATTTGTAAGAACATACATCAAGTTTTAATCAAATATGTTAATTATTTTGTTGTTGGTAATTGTTTGAATCAATCAAGTTTTGCATTTTGTAAAAAATGGATGAAATAAAATTTTATCTAATGATCAAATATTATTTTTTGAAAGGCAAAACGCATAGGAAACTAAAATCAAGTTGAATAAACATTATGGTAAACCTAATCTACTCCATCGATTAAAACATATCAAAATATTTATGTAATTTGTAAATTATATTAAAATATATAAGCTTAAAAGGAGATTATATTGAAAAATAAAAGCTAGTAAATGATGAATGCCTTATCGAGTCTGTACACTGGTTGTGTGGTTAAAATGAAATTTTATTATCTCTAAATAGATACAACGTTTCAGGAAAAATAAAAGATTTTTCCTGAATAACAGAGTCTTCTTTATTTTTGCACAGACTTATTAAACAGTTTTCATATTATATATAATGTCATTTGACATCAAAATACTAAGAAATAACAAGCTTGTTTGCTAGACTTTTGTAATATAAAATTAATTTGATAAATGTGTACATGTAGGTGCAATTACCTTCAGATTAGTGATGAGAAATAACTGCTCCTTAAAAAATTGTCCATAAACTGACTTGGCCTTGATATTCTCCAAACCTTGCGCACCTTTCTTTATAAATGGATTGGTTACTCCCCAAAGAATCGCCACGAAACACAGATGTATCACAGAATCTGCAATATAAACATATATATTAACATTAGCATTTCAACACACTGTTTGATATCATTAAAACTCTGCTTTTATTTTCATTCTTCTACTTTTATCATGAAAAAGACTATTTTTCAACAAGCAGAAAAAAAGATTGTTAAAACTAAAATAGCTCACCAATAGTGACTGCCATTCTCGTCAATTATATAACGTGCAATGTTTCACGCATCGAACAATACAATGCAAGTCGCGTTATGAGAATTAATTAATAGGTACGTTGAATACACCGGATTCACGTATCTACACCATAGTAAAATTTCGCTATTAAATCCATATGTTATATTATATTCACAAGTAATTACATTAAATCATGTCATTTTACGAATTTTAGGCTTTTCTTGAGTTTGATGGTGCCAGTCACTAGTCAACGCAACGTCATTGAAAATTAAAACGCCGATGTCGCCGATCACATTATAGACGCCGCGGTCTGCCATATTAAATAAACATACTACATAGGTCATGACCATGATGTAAGAATGACAAGGCACGAACTCGATCGAAAAGTATAGATCATAGATCGCACTTTAAGGTACCTTTTCATGTTATCATTTGTTATCTTTTTGACACTAAAAATGATTGCATTTTCCATTGGCAGAACTAGTGCGCATTGGTTCTGCCAGTAAAAACGCTATGAGTGTCGAGCTATTCCAAGTTTAAAACGAAATATATTAGCATGTATATTTTAATCGTGAACTTACATCCACTTCTTCAGAGGGCAGTAGTGCGCAGCAACATTTTGCGACTTCTCTCTGGTAAAAGCCCCTCTTGTCCTCTCTGATTCTCTCTGTTCTGGTTTCTGGTAGTGTAGTACTCCGAGTTGCTCCGAGTGCTCAGTGCTCACACATCAGTGTACTATTCAGTTAGTATCAGTACATGTTCTGCACATGTGTACAAATACATTTTTCAATTTTATCATGTAAGTTTGTGAGTTTTATATATTGCATATCGTTTTGTGAAATTTGAAACTCAATCAAACTGAAGCTAGAAATAACGTCACACGTTACATTGAATATTAATTAACTATGATGTTAATAAGCATTTTATAACATTGTAAAATATTTATATTTTCTCTTATGTTCTCAGGTTATAAAATTTGCAACAATTTATTGAAAATTTAAAGAATTCTTTCTTTTTACTTGAATTTATAAAAATATTACAATAATAATAGAAACATGAGTTGTCAAAAAGGCAATGCTAATCGTTCGAGGCCTCAAAAATATCAAAATCAAAAATCGTTTAAAAATGATCTATATGACAAGTCTCAAAAAATAAAGCAAATTAACAGCACTCAGGTTACCAATGTATGTGAACGTTGTAAAAAAATAATAGAGTGGAAGATTAAATACAAAAAGTATAAAGTGCTTAAAGCTGCAATGAAATGTATTAAATGTGAACAAAAAACTGTGAAACATTCTTATCATAATATCTGCTTGCCTTGTGCAAAGCAACAAGAAATATGTTCGAAATGTGGACAGAAGACAGAAATCGTAGAAGGAATATATAGCAAGGAAGAACAAATGAAATTGGATGCTGAATTTAAAACAATTCTGAAAACAATGTCAGAACGAAAACGAAGAACATTGTTACGTTACATGAATCAACAATTGAGTATGTATTTTATGTTGCATATTGTTAGGTAGAATTTTATTTATATATTTATTATGCACACAATTGGTATGAATATATGATTTTATATAATAAAAGCGTTTATTCTACTTTATTTTTAGTAAAAAGTAAGGAAAATAATGGCAAAAAACCTAGTACTTCGGGTTTGAATACTGATACGGATAAAATTGACAGTAAGAACAGGAATGGAGATGAAACAAATCTGAAAAGAGAAGATTTATTAATGAAAATAAAATCATTAGCTATTATAGAAGATGACAACATTGACAGCGATATTGATGAAGAAGAAATTGATCATCTTGACAATGATATTTATAACTTATGTGATAAAATTTTTTCTAAATAAAAAGCTGTTAATTATAAAATATATACAATATTTTATCATACAACCTTTTTATTTTATTTATAATTTTTTTATAGTAACTTGATTGGTGAACATATCTACTTCAAATTCAGATTTTATTCATGTATAATTTGCTGTCTGTAATAAAGAAATTTTATATTTTAAATGGATTGTTATGGATTTTACGTTTTTATAGATTGTATCATACCTTTCATATACATCAAGCAACAGTAAAAATGGAGGGCAAAGAAAATAAACCAGTAATTTTAAGTTATCGCAAAATTTAAACTTTAATAACATTATCCGACATGAATTTTATTTATACTATATATAATAAAACAAAAGTGATTCTTATAGATCTTTTATCGCTGAAAATGAATTTATAAATGAAATTGTTTTAACATGTCATATATGAATTTCTATTGTATATTAATATAGACTTATGGCATTTTTGGCCCGATCAGATTTGCACTTTAGAGCAAGGTTTACATTAACCTGGGATGAATCAATGGGCACGTTCAGTGGATAATAACAGCGAGCACTCACTCAACTGTTGAGTCCGCTGAACGCATCCAATGATATTTCGTGATTTTCTATTGGTACAGCTTGTAATGTCAATCAATTGATGTAAACCCGATCAAGCCGAAAACGCTATTAGTGAAAATATAAGGTTTAGTTTATAAATTACCAACAGTATATAAATTAAACCGAACTAAAATAAGTAATAATAAGACTCTATATGTATAAACAGAACTATGTTTTAATTAAACTGAACTATATTTTATCAACTATCCTTTCTTTCCATCAATGAATAAAGTAAAATTAATAATTATATTCATAAAAAATGTAATTTGACGAGTTAATTGCCGATTGAGTTAATCGGAGTTTTTGTAAAATCATCTTTACAATCTTTGAAAAACATTAACTTACGTAAATACTGATGCTTTTAAAAATTATTGTATTACAGTCTTTCTTGTAAGAGCGTGGCAGGCCTATCTCAAAGAAAAATGGCTTAAATTTATATTGATTGTAAATACAATTATATTAATAAGGAGTCCAGTCACCAGCTGCGTCTATAATAGACTGGCATCTCCGAGGCATACTTTCCACTAAAGAAATCGCATATTCACGTGGCAAAGACCTCCAGATTTGTCGAATTTCGTTTTTTAAGCGCTTCGAAGTTGATGTCGGTCTTCCATGAAGCTTCCTTTTGATGAGTGACCACACATTTTCAATGGGATTCGTATCGGGTGATTGTGAAGGCCAATGGAGTGTCTCGATGTCATTTCCCTCTTTCCAGGACGTGCAGAGCCGGCTTCGGTATTTGGGGTCATCTTCCTGGAGAAACCAATCTTTATCTTTACTGATAAACCAGCGTTGGGCAGATGGAATCAAAGCTTTTTGGTATATTTTTAACATTTTCTCAGAATTCAGGTTGTCAGTAAAGAAATAAAGTCGACCAAATCCTTGCTCTGAGAAGCAGCCCCAAACATGCACCTTTACCGCGTGTTTAACAGTTCGTTGGACTAATCTATTGGTGGCAGTAGACCAGAATCGTTTCATTTCACAATGTGCCCAAAAAGAAGATTTATCTGTAAAAATCACATTACTCCAGTTGCGATCTTTATTTTCGTGAGCCCAAGCTAGTCGCGCGCTGATGTGTTTTTCCAATAATAATGGTTTTTGGATTTTCCTACAACATCTTATACCATACGCATGTAGATAACGTCGTATGGTTTCACACGACATTCTTAAACCTTTTTGTTGTAATTTTGCCTGTCCTTGACGCAGAGATAACGTACTATTGCTTTGAAACAGGCGCACAACTGTTTTTTCATCTTCGTCGGTATAGGTCCGTGTCGTGCCACGTTCCGGTAAATCGTCCACGGTTTTTGTCTCTAAATAACGTTGCACCCATTTCTGGACAAACGATCTTGATTTTCCCATATATTTGGCCGCAGCGTGTTGAGACATTTTTGGCCCTTTTGAATGAGAACACAAGAACACTGCTTCGAAACGAGACGCGTAGGCAGCACTCATTTTGAAAATCGTTTATCTAACACAATTTAAGCAACAACAAGTACTTTGCTTATAATGCATGCAGAACAAAGGTGACACCTCTCTATCGGCGAAAATAAAAATTTAAAGTATATCTTTACTTATGACTGTGGGTAAGCCTTGCTACGCTCTTACTAGACAGACTGTATATATTTATTAACAAAAAGATTAAACAAATTCGATGAATTAACAAAAATACAGTCGCTATAAAATATTATACATTAATTTACTGATAAATGCTCAATAGTTTCTAGCTGTTCCATTTCGATCTTCTTATAAGAATCGTATTGTACTCGTAGTCGTTCTAATTCCATAGATTTCTCCAAAATCAATGCCTGCAATGAGAATAGACGATTATTGAGTGATACAGATTATATAGAACGATATTATAATTAAGGTCTAATTGTAGGTTAATTTTGAATATAATTAATATCCAATTTAACTGACGATTAACTAAACTAAAATTTTTATTCACAACAAATTTTTCAAATATATATGTATATACGTAACTTTTTCTTAATCTAATCTTTTCTTTTGTATTTCAAACAATAAAAAATTAATAAAATTCTATCGATGTTAATAAATGCAAATGTTGTTCGATAAATTAATTATCGAATTAATTAATCTGAGTTTGATGAAATGCTCAAAATCGTCAAATTTAATCATAGATAATATAAACAAGGCCCAATAAGTATAAAACAATATTAATAATAATAAGGGCAATGAGCCAGATACAAAACGCAAGAACAAATATATAAAAACAAAGTATAATATAAAGTTTAAAAATTAATACAATACAAACGTTAACGTTTCAACCCATATCGGATCTTCTTCAGTGTAACAATAAATTATAAATTTCTGTATCGCTAATCATAATGTCAGGCTATTGTTCGCTTATTGAAATCGTAGTCCATCGTGTAAAAGTTAATCCAAAAAATTAAATCTAATAAAATTTATATAATTTGTCATAAATCACAATTTCACATTATGGATTTGTACATTTTTGACATTATTTATTACACAATTTTTAGAAGGTAACTATTTAACACTTGTTTAACATGTCTATTTAAGAATTTTATGACAAATTATATAAATTTTATTAGATTTAATTTTTTGGATTAACTTTTACACGATGGACTACGATTTCAATAAGCGAACAATAGCCTGACATTATGATTAGCGATACAGAAATTTATAATTTATTGTTACACTGAAGAAGATCCGATATGGGTTGAAACGTTAACGTTTGTATTGTATTAATTTTTAAACTTTATATTATACTTTGTTTTTATATATTTGTTCTTGCGTTTTGTATCTGGCTCATTGCCCTTATTATTATTAATATTGTTTTAATCATAGATGATTATTGGTCAATTTTAAAATAATAATTAACCGATTATGTGTATGAATACCAGTCTAAATATATAATAACATAATTCTTACAACTGTCTATATCATTTGAACGATCAATGCACACTATTAAGTATAATTATTTAAAAACCTCCATTTGCTGTTTCTGAGCTTCCCTTTGCTTCGCAACAGAACGCAGCAGATTCCGCGCGCCAATCGTTTTCATTTTCTCTTTCTCCACCTCCTTTGACAAATTATCTAATATTCTAATGAATTCGTCGGAATTCTTTTCAAATTCAGTAATCTCTGCAACGTGAAAATTCTCATTCGTTGCGATGATAATTTATATTCGTGAAGCGTAATTTGTAACTACGTGCGATCGACAACAAAGCATCGGGGTACAATTTTTTAGATGGAGTTTAAAAGAGAACATCAAACTTTAATATCAGATAATTTTCGTTTACTTCGTATCGTAATTTTATTTAAATTTTTTGTATAATTTCAAATACATTAAGAATACATCTGTCTTAAAAATAGCATTTTCAGCACGAGCGGATTCGCACCGATTTGGGTTGGATAATGTTCTACTATTGGTTGATGTTACATATTTTTTCACAATAGGAGAACGTATAACATTATTAATCCAACCCAAGTTGATGCAAAACCCGCTCGGGACAAATACGCTATCAAGATTTTAAAAAAATAAGACCCTGTGCATAATGGAGGAAATATTAGGAACAGGAATAAATTTTAAGATTTGAACCTATCAGAAACCATGTATTCTGATGTAACTGGTATTTGATAGGTTGAAATTTTAATATACATATATTCCTGTTCCTAGTATTTGTTCTATTGTGCACAGGCCCTAAAGAGTAAATTGAACCGAGATTAAAGGTTTGTTCTCTCTTTTTAACTGAAATTATTGCATGATTCATCTTTCTTCCTCTTCTCTGTTTGAAGAAAAAAAGAGAAAAGATGAATCGTGCAAGAAGTTCATCTAAAGGATAAGCCTTAAAGTTTTATATTGATGAAACCGGACTTTATAGAACTGAAAAAAGATGCAAAGTAAAACAGAGATTAAAGTTAATCTACATTAGTAGAAATGGACATAAGAGTATTTCAATGTGAAGCTTTGCTTTCTTACTTATTTCGATAATTATAACTTGTATACTATGAAAAAATTTACTAAATTTTAATAAATTTTTTCTCGGTATACATACATCAAATAATACTTATAGTATTTTAATACAGAATTATTAATTGCAGTTTATTAACACAGAAAGAACATAAAAGTTTACAGACAGCTATATAATAATTACACGGTTAGAAAAAAATATATATAATTGTCGATTAATGCCATTTCGATCAACGTAGATTAATTTACTCTTTATCTTTTTCTAATTCACCAAGATTAAAGTTAATCTATATAAAAAAAGTAGACACAAGTTGATAAAGTTCAAAGTCGGGCCGAAAGCTACTTTCAAAATTATACTCAGTGCCTTCGAGTATCATTTTATCCTTGTTGAAAGGATAAAATATATGATATTCGGAGGCATTCAGGTAGTATTCTCGAACGCGCCCAAGAGTGTAGACGTGTGCTTTATTGTGCAGGAATCGTAAAACTAGAAAAAGCGGTGAGGATTGTGCGGAGGGTGAGTATCGTGACAATCGGTCAATCAAGTCATTGCGTCGTTTCGCTGAATATCACTCGCGAAGGCAACGCAACTTACTGGTCACGAAATTCTGACACTCCTCCTTCAGTTTATTCGTTTGATTCGCCGCTTCCGGCTCTAAAACACGTATCTTGCTCAGATCATCAATGTAAACGCCGTATCTTGCCAACAAGTCGGCCATCTTCTCAAGTTTGCGATGATTGCGAGAACGACATCACGTGATCTCGCGCCAGGAGCGCGCGGGCGATTCTAATTGGTCGACAGAGGCCGCATTGATCGTTATGTCTCGCGATATTCTCGATACGTCGATACTTTCGCGTATCAAATCGATACGTCCGTCCCGTCCCGTCGTCGTTGTGAAGTTCGCCGATGATGAATGAGCCGAAAATGGAGCGAAATGAAGATATGTTAGTATCTCGCGCGGTTTTCCCGCTTTCTCGACGTCAACGGGTGTAAAACGAGAAGCTCGACAGTTCGACACGAGTACGTCGTCACGTTGCTCCGACGCAAACGGTAATCTGTCGATTCGCACACGTTTAACTTAACGTCGAGGGGATCGATACTATTCGCCCTCGTCCTCGCCTCATCCCGTGGCTGTCACATCAGTAGTAGTGTTATTAGTACTAGCCTCGGCTTTGCCAGGTTTGGTCTCACCAGAGTTTTTCGTTATGTCGGGCGAGCACAAAACGGAAATTAAATACCCGTCGGAGTACGTCAAATTGAACATTGGGGGCTCGCTTCATTACACCACCATAGGTACCTTGCAGAAGCATGATACCATGCTGCGTGCAATGTTCAGCGGTCGCATGGAAGTGCTCACCGACTCCGAAGGTGAGCTGCTTCTTTTCGCAACGTGCATTGTTGACTCGAAATTGGTAAACTTTGAATATCGATCGGTTCTGCAGTCCTAATTAAAAGACATCGTTTTAATGTAGTGGAAGGCACATGAATTTGTTTGATTTGAAAAAAGGAATTATATACGGACTTTCTGCGTTCTTTCCTAAGAATTTTAAACATTTCAATTTTTATTAATATTTTGTTTATACCTTCGACTGACCACGATTTTTCTCCATAGGCTGGATATTGATTGATCGGTGTGGCAAACATTTTGGAACGATCTTGAATTTTTTGCGAGACGGCTCGGTTCCACTGCCAGAGAATACGAAGGAGATGGCAGAATTACTTGCAGAGGCAAAATATTATTGTATCAGCGAGCTGGCAGAATCCTGTGAACAGGCTCTTCTACGAAAAGAACGTGAAGCAGAGCCGATCTGCAGAGTTCCTCTCATAACCTCTCAGAAAGAGGAACAGTTGCTCATAAACAATACTACTAAGCCTGTAGTCAAACTGCTCATTAATAGGCATAACAATAAATATTCCTATACAAGGTAATATTAAATGTTACTTTATAGTTGTAAATATTGTGATATTTCATGATTCCTTTTTTATCTTTTATAAATTGCAATCTAAGTTTTATATTAACATTTAAAACCATATCTAGAATATATTGTTTCTTACGTTTTATCTTTTTTTACCTTTTGTTTCTTATTCTATTTCTTTGTGTGTTTTCTGTCGTCCAAAAGATATTTTCATAATTATTGTGATATTTTATGATTCCTTTCTTATCTTTTATAGATTATAATCTAAGTGTTTCATTCATTAAAACCTAATGTTCCGTTTTTTATATTTTGTCTTTTTGCTTCTTATCCTGTTTTCCCATTTTCTATCGCCAGAAATAAAAATTAATGAATCTCAGAAAAGACGAGAAACAATTATTGATAAAAATATGGTCGTGAAGAGAGAGGGGGGGAGAAGACAAGAGATAAAAAGCAAGATGTAGGAGGCAAAAAACATATTATAGATTAGGGTTAATATACAAGCACTTTAATATATAACAAGAGAGACTAATACAAAGTATTGTGAATTTGTGAATCTTTCAGGCTACTTTCTTTTTAGCAGACATAGTCAACACAAGTCTGTCTTCATTATTTATTGAATATTAAAAAGGGTGGAACAACATTCGTCGATTGTGTCTCCTAAAAGAAAAACAGTCAGATTGCGTTCGGAAAGTTAATAGAGTTCGAAACTCTATTAACGCTATTGTGTCATTCTATCTTTATTAGTCATTTCATTGGACATATAAAGGTAGAATGCAGTAACACTGATAGTGTTAGCATTTTCTGAGAGCTCTAGAACACAGCTACAATTTAAGTATATCATGAACTAATATTTTAAAATAATAGTTCACAATTTTTTTGTATAATACATTCGTTTTATTTTGTGCTGAAATTTCATCAATATTACCAATTTTAACTTTCATCTATTATATTATCAATTTTAACTCTAAACTTATGATTCAAGTATTCTATAAAATACTGAGGACATTCTACTGTTAACTGTTTATTTTTAAACATTAGTCTCACGATGTTTTCTGATTTTATATTTACTCCAATAATCTGGTTTTATTACAAGTGAAAGATTTATTATAAACAGTACTATATTGAAGATCAAAAAAAGGGTCAAAACGTCTTTATTGTAACTTGTTTTTATTAATATATTTTTATACACAATCTATGTGCTCATATGGCTGATTTTTATAATATTTTAAATGCATGAAAAAAAGAAGAAAAAAAGATAAATAAATGAAATATTGCAATGTATATGATGATAGCTGTATTATTACCATAAATTATTATTATTAAATGGACTAATAAATTAATTTAATTTTTGCAGTACATCAGATGACAATCTATTAAAAAATATAGAATTATTCGACAAAATGTCACTTAGATTCAGTGGCAGAGTGTTATTCATCAAAGATGTTATCGGCTCGAGTGAGATCTGTTGTTGGACATTTTATGGACATGGTCGTAAAGTAGCAGAAGTCTGCTGTCACTCGATCGTCTATACAACCGATAAAAAACATACAAAGGTAATATTAAATAATTTGATTTGAAATTATAGGCCTACTCCTTGTTTCTGTATTCTTTGAACTAGTACATATGGTATTGTGCAACAAGTTGAAATAAAACAAATATGTATTTGTTTCACTTTAACTTAATGCACTGTGTGCATTAGTTTAAAGAGTGCAGGAATAAAAAACAAATCATATGATTTAAAATTTATGATTTTGAAATTATATAATATAATGCTTTCATTTTTTCAGGTTGAATTCCCTGAGGCTCGAATATACGAGGAAACGTTAAATATTTTATTGTATGAGCATCGGAATGGTCCAGATCAAGAGTTAATGCAGGCTACATCGTCACGTGTGGTACCTTGCACGTCTGACGAAGAAGAGGGCGAACGTTCAGGCTTGGCTCGCCTTCGCTCCAACAAACAGAACACCAACTGACCCAGTCTTGTTCTCCTCAATCCACCGCACACCGCAATTCTCAGCGTTGTTCGCTCTTTCAAGACACGAATTAATATAAAATAAGACGAAACACGGATGTATACCAAATGCGAATGCTACATGATACTTATCGCCTGTCAGTCGAATCTTTTTTCGTTTTTGTAACGTATAGAACATGAGGAAAACTACAGTTAATTTTGGCCAGATGATAAATCATCGCGTTACATTTTTCACATCATGACACTTATTTTCGGATATAATTGCGCGTTCTAACTGTTGAACATATTTATAAGAAAAATGCGTCTCGTCCTACTTATTGAAGGAAATGACAAATATCTTAAGTTATCTTCGCCATTCTTGCTACACAAGCGTGTTTATAAATATGTATGTAAATATGCAACTGAGAATGGCATCTTATTGATTTCATCTTGAAAATTATGAAAAGAATGTAACGTCTACGCGCTTACTATTATGTGCCAAATCATATTAAATCCACGACAGGAATAAGTCCAAGTTGCCATTCTATGACTGATGAAATTATTTATGAACTTATACTCTATGACAACTTTTAAGCAGTCATCTAGATTAACCAAATTGTTATAAAAATTTTTTTATGCAAAAGTAGGCACTGCATTGTTACCTGTTATATAAGTATTATTATTTTATTATTATTATCATTACTATCATTATCATTGTCATCGTTATTATATTAATTTGTCATAATTATTAATTATTATTATTACTTATTATTCTTACGTCATTGTCTCCATTATTGCGATAAATTTTTTATCATGTTTATATTACTCTTTCTTACAAATTTGCATAATTTAATATCCTAAATAAATCGTATATTATATATTTTAAACATATATATTGTATTATTTGAATGTGCGTTTCTCAGCGAGTCCGAAATTCTATTAAACTGCTTAAAGGATGGTGTGGAGTAAACACTGCCAGTAAAAGAAAATTGAAGTCTAATACCAGTTATATGGCGTATTGGAAGTACGCATTTTGAACAAGTAATTTTGTTACTCCAATTGAATTGTAAATGTTAAACGTATTTTTCAGGATTTTCATTTTGAACGAATACATAGTACAATATATCTGATTTTTAATGAACTAGTTTATTTTGACTTTTTTCTACTAATACGCGTGCGCGTCATTCCAAGTGTATCATTTCACTGTATAATTACCGTAATTTTCATATACATGTGTAAATATATGTATATATATATATATATATATGCGTGTGATTAATTTTCTTGATTGATTTATACTTTCACTTATATAACGAAATTGGAGCGACAATCCAAATTGGAGAGTTTCGGGTGCCGATGCGAGTAATTTGATATATACTCATCGTAAGTATAATGATCAGGAAACCGCAGTTTTTCATTTTATAATAGAAAATAAGTTTGCTCAATTTTTCCGAAGATGTTAGATAAGTGAAGGTGGAGTGTAAAACAACTGCAGACTGTGATTACACTGGCACGGCATATACATATGTGTATATATATTATTTTTGTGTATCTTAGTGTTAAAAGATGAGAGAGATTCACAATCCCATAATTAATAAAGGGACCATATGTATCGTGTTGTATACCTACTACATCGTAGGATATCTTTTCATTCATATCTGTAATACATATGTTACATATTAAATCGAATATATCTATGTTGAATAAAATGATTTATAGATTTCCCTATCTTTCTTTGTGATTATGTAAACAATACATTGTAAAGGATTGAATATATAAATATGATAATAGAATAGATTTATATATCTTTAAGGAATTTTCTTAGAGAAAAAGTATATATACATATTATTATTTACACAATTACAAATTTGAAATCATAGTACAAGTATGATGATATGAAACATGAGACAATAGTTCAAATCAATAATAGATAAATAAGCAAATTTTAGATAAGCAGCGTAGTTAATGCTGGAAAATCAGATTTATTCCGTTATTTGTGCGAAATATGTATAATTAATATTCTTAAATAAAAGAAATGTTATTAGTAGTAAAGCAAATGTATATGTGAGATCCTAAAAATAAAGCATATTATACTGGTTTTAAAATATTTGATGTGTTTACTTCTTTCGTGACAAGAGAAAAAATGCAGAAAATAGAAACAAGCATTAAGATTGATTCGAGCGACATGTATTATGAAACAAGATATTATACATAAGTGTATGACGGAGTTTGCAGCTAAAGACAGTACATGGGGCATAAACCTTTTTCTTCTTGAGACGGAATCAAATGTACATACACATGTTGCGGAGGTTGTCAACCCCTGAATTGGAAAGGCACGTCAGTTCTTTCTGAATGATGCTAGATATCGTTCGTCTAGTATATATACGTTGATCATTTTGCAAACGGCGTTTACACAGAGTATCGTGATTGTTTTTGCATTTAACTATAAACATGTTCTTCGATGAAATTACTGTCTACTAACGACTGTGATTACACATGAGTGTCGACAGAAAAATGTATATTGGTGGAAAAAATGTTACAATTGTCGCGAAGATTTCACTGGGTTGATTCGTATCTCTATCTTCTAGTAGTGTCACATAATTTAAATGTTTTAATAAATCTATACAACTGTGGAAACATAAAGATTCTGATAGTTCTGCATTGCGATCGAAACAGCAATCTTTACGCAACGTGAAAGTCTTAAACTGTAAAAAATATGACAGTAGGTCTTTATTTGTTCAAGTATTGCCTATTTATGATTTATGTATTATATGTTAATCGTAACATGAACTCCAAAAAGTTATTGAAATATGTGACGAGTATTGGCGGTTAGCGCCACATTAAATAATAATATTAATTTATAAAACCCCAATAGTGTTATTTTCTTAGACCAAAGTTCTACAGAGGATAGTCTCCATACTTGACACGCGCTTTCTCAGTTATTTCGCTCGTGTTCATAATAGGTAAAGATAGATCGAGTAGAGGAGCTTGTACACGTAGGCACGAGTAGATCTAAGAGCAAAAATATACACTTTACCTTCATCTAATTAGTGCAGAAAACTGAATTTCAATAAATCCATCGAACACCATTGCTTTCGTTAGCTACATGAAAAATGAACGGAGATTTGCTCCCAGATATAATATGCCCTATCCTCTATCTGTATTTGTCGGAATACTACAAGTATCTTGCACTTATTATATAATACCAAATATTTCGCATACCTTCACATACCAGAAGGAATTTTGCGACTGTCATGATGTCACGAATACTCCACGTTTATCAAAGTATTATTAGCATCGCGACACAATAGTATTCTGAATTTACCAAAATACCATAACTATCATGCATTTGCCACGACATATCGGGCCATTTTCAATCCTACAATTGTAATCCCTCTTTCTATAAGACAAACACCTTTATCGGTTTCCCAAAGTTACGATGTATCTTTCTCTATACACATACACACACACACACACACACACACACACACACACACACACACACACACACACACACACACACACACACACACACACACACACACACACGCATATATATATATATAAATATATATATATATATGACTCTTTGTATAAATTTACAAAAAACATACTTTTGACATGTGCAAATTTCCAAATTCAGATCGTTTCAAACTATTACAGCACTTGACGTAGCTTAACACAAGTACATATCTTTTTTTTGTATTTCTTTAACGTTATTATTAAGACAAGATCACAAATTGGTAACGCGTTATACGCAATTGCCTTAATTACATAATACAATTTAAACATCTTAAAACTATTTGCACACCCATCCATTCAACTACTATACCCAGGGATTCAAAAATAAATTCTATTTCGTAAAAATAAGAGATAAATGTGTATTGACTTACAAATATAAATCCTATAAACTACATTATAAATATATACATTTATGTGTACTAATCTACAAACTCAAGGAATATACTTTGTAAGTGCAGCTGGAGCAAATGGGACGATATGAACAAAATCTAATTATTCAACTTAAATATATTAACTAAGACATAAAATATAATGATTAGAAGGATTTAAACAATCATAGCTTGAAATAAATGATATTGTGATACACAGCTACACATTAAGATAAATACTAAATTGACAATATCTTTCTTATTTAATGTAATTTTATTTATATATTAGGTCGGTGCAAAAGTTCTTGCCGATTCTTTGCAATTTTTTTTATTACAATAAAAACATCGATACATTATATTATATTAATCAAAATATTTTCCATCATTTTCCATTACTTTTTTCCATCTTTCCGGCAGTATATGGATACCATGAAAAAAGGAATCATCCTTTGAAGCGATCCATTGATCGACCCATTTTCGTATATCCTCGGCATTTGAGAAGCGCTTACCAGATAAGCCATGTTCATCGATCTAAACAGATAATAATCAGAAGGGGCAATGTCTGAATACGGGAGAACATCCTATTCCAACTTTAACAATGCTTCCTTAGTTCCTTAGCAACATATGGCCTGGCATTATCATGCAACAGGACTCACTTTCAATACTTCTGGATTTTTCCCATTGCATTTAAAAGGCAAATAATTGTTGAATAATCAATTCCCAGTTGTGTTGCAAGCTCACGAGTCGATTAGGCTGAATCTTCATTAAGCAATGCTTGCAATTCATCCTCTTCCATAGTTGCAGGATGTCCGAAGTGTTCTTTATCACTAATATTGAAATTATCGTCTTTAAATCGTTTAAACCAAACACACGTTCTAATGGCTATAACATTTTCACTATATGTGTCACAATTCTGTGTGCATCAGCAGCACTTTTTTTCTATAATAGTGAAAACAAAACAAATATTTTAAAAGCATTAATATGCTCTTTATCTGGCTCTCTTTTTAATCGTAATATACTATAAATGTAAAGTTACATTTTTTTACATCTATGGCTTGTCATGCACAACTGTGAAATGCAGAGATGCTAACTTACAAAAACCATAAATATTTTTGCTGATAAAGTTGTACTAAGTATGTTATATGTAGATATATTTATCCGCATTGGCAAGAACTTTTGCACCAACCTAATATCAAAATAAAAAACATTATGTATATCGCAAAATATCATATATATACAGCGATTCTAATTTTGTTATTCTTATAATTTGAGAAAATATCTGTTACAATGTATGTATCAAATATCTATTCAATCTATTAAATAAGAAAAACGAAAAGTTGAACAAAACTCTTAATTTATACTACTTATTCATTTCCTTGTTACTCATATGCTTGTTAATTTATATTGCGTATATATCTTCTCGTTAGTATCACTGCATCATTCATATGAAATTAGTCTTAATTAATATATTTATGTATATTAAAAGTTGTTAGAGTTACCTACATTAGAACTATATTAGAACTTATAATAATACATTATGTTCTACAAAACTAAAAAAGAAAATTATATTATACATTTATATTAAGAGTACGTATCATTCGTCGTACTTTTGTCAATAAATGCTTGTGAAAAGATGAACAAGTTTTTTTTTTAATTTTGACCAGAATTGTTTTATATTATTATTTTCTATACAATTTCTCTCTATCCCTTTTTTGTCATATTTCTCAGTTCTAAAGGGATTGATTCCAAATTATGTATAAAAGAATAAAAATGTATATCCCAAATGTCAAATTTCTTCTCAATAATAAAATAAATCATATCTAACGACATTACATGTATGCACAGGATATGATCTTAAAGAGAAATTTTTCTTCATATGTATTATTTATTTTATTGTAATCGAGAAATGATTCATGCGTTATTAACAAAACTAAGTTATATCATTCCCACGTACTCCAATCTAGCAGTCTGTTAGCAGCGACGAATAACACACCTTACACACTATTTCATGTGCTTGTTACTGTATAACCAATTGGTTCCAGCTTTACACAATAATATAAAGTTGTTACATAATTTTACATAAACTCACATTCATTCGTCCGCTCCCGGAGATCAGTTCATGACGCATGGTGACTCCTAATTCACATAGCTGCCTCAGTTTTAGCGCGTTTGCAGGGGTTTACTGTGTTTTCTCCCGGGATACAATCGTTGTTTTCCTCAGCAGTTGGCGAAACCGATCGTTTCTTTGTAACGCATACCTCGGCAACGGTATTATTTTTAACAGTTTCGGTTGCCGATGATGTAAACTTAACTATTACAGCAGTCATGTTGTCGCAGCCCGTTCCATCGCCGAGAGTATCCGGTGCAAGACAATGATCAAAAAGCTATAACACACATTAGATTGTTTATTCAGAAAGAATAAAGAATATCTTAAATGGTTTGAAAAGATGCATGCGAGCATGTTTAAAAAATTATTTGTATTCTTTTAAGTTCGTAACATCAATACCTCTTCGCAGATTTTCGAAATATTCTCGTAATTTTGTGACAAACGGGAGCGCACAAACTGAACGACATTTTGACTGGTCATAAAGTTCCATATGCCATCGCAAGCTAGTATCATAAATTCATCTTTCTCCGGATCGATTGTAATATGCCTTATGTCCGGCAGAGCAGAGATCATTTGTTCCTGAGGTGGTAATACCATGTTTTGCTTATACGCATGATCACCGAGCGCTCTGGAAAGATTGAGGCCGCCATTCACTCTGCCATCACTTGTCACCTCTCCACCTGCTTTTACTATACGTTCCATTTCTGGTGCGTCTTCGGGTTTATGATCCAGACTAAGTTCAATCGCCTGGCCATCCCTGCATAGAACACACCGAGAATCTCCAGCATTAGCCACATACAATTCGTTTTCCTTAAGTATCGCTACAACTGCTGTGCATCCACTGTCCGAGCCAGGCTACACAAAAAAATCAGTATACAATTATACATTATACAAATTTAATAAGGAAAAAATTCGTAGTAATTAGCTTTATGGATTATAGAAAATAAAATTCCAGTAAAATAAAGTATAATAATTTTTATGTATAATGTAGTAAACAAAATCATAAATTCAAGGCTCAATAATAAATAATCTTTTAACTATGGTGCATCAAAACTCTATTGAGCACTCTGTATGAGTAAAAGTTTTATACTTTTGAGATACACCAAAGTTCATTTATTATATTATTATATCCATTATTGCACCTTGTGTTTATGACAGCATTTATTCACCACATTATAAGCTACACCATATGTAAGAACTAATTAATTTCATCAGGAATCCAATTTTCCATATAATTAGTGCAGAATCCTCTTTAAATAATTTTATTTAATATACTTTATTTAAAATATTATCCATTTAATACGATCGCCTCATTCCTTAATTTTACTTTAGATGTCCATGGCTTATGGCTTATTCAATTAATTCTATAATAAAATCGATATTATACCTTTTCAGTGTTCACCATGAGATCATCAGTATCATCGTCAGAATCATCTATATCTTCCTCCTCCACTTCATCATCATCATCATCATCATCTTCGTCACTTTCATCTTCAACATCTTCCGTATCATCACCATCACTGTAAAACGATTTGAAAGAATGTTAATTTAAAAGCAATACTCTCTTAAAAATTAAGCGTTCTTATATCAAATATGTATAAATTTATACCTTTCAGGGACACCATCAAAGGTTTCATCATTTTCATCATCATCATCGTCTTCCTCAGAATCATCACTGTCTTTTTTCAGTAGACTTTGATAAAGATCCACGGGTTGAATTCTTCTTCGACCACTGCTAGTTATACGTTCTTGCTGACCTGCATCTCCGTTTTCTACAGGGATACAAGAACTGCTCGACACATTGTCTCCTCCACCTTTACTACTATCTGCATCTCCGATCCTCTTTGATTCTGCGCCATTAACTTCCACCTCATTCGCATTAGACTCCGTGCACGGTGGCACCTTGCCTGGACTCGAGACTTTCTCTTTTACATCTTCAGAGCTGTCGGGCATATCCATAGATTTAGCAGTTTCTATATCCTCAGTAGATACCACTGGTGGAGACGCATGAGCGCTACCATTGCTCGTCGTTGAATCCAACACTTGCTCAGCTTCATTATTTCCCGGACTATCGGAATCTTTTCGCTCCACTGTGCTAGACAGAGTCGATCCACAAGGCTGACTGGAACTACTTACGTCTGTTTCATTCGTATTCCAACCAGACGAGGCTGAAGATGACGATGATGATGTTGGTGGTGGTGACGGCGACGATGAACATCCTGCGCCCGAGGATGAACCACCTGCTTTCTCTCGTCCTCTTCTACCTCGTAAAAAAGGACTCGCAAAAGCGCGTGCACCACATTTTTCGACTTTCAGGTTTTTTAGATGAGGATTTGACACTTCTGATTGATATTTTGCCATTACTTGTTCCAATGGCATTGTTGCTTCCATACAAAGATTACTAACATTCTCCTCTTCATCTATACGCAATGTAATGTACGAATATAATCTTATTAAGAATTTACTCGTGCAGATAAGGAGAAAAAATAAATTAGAGCTTGCAAAACATATAATTAGCAAGAGTGTCTGTATAAAAGTAAATCCCATAATAATGAATATCCTTAATATGAAAAAAAACGCACCAGATTCATTCAAGTCACTCTCCTTTTTCTCTGTGGATGTCCCTGCTAGCTCTTTGAGAACATTGACAACCTCCGGTTTCGTAAGAGTTTCGTCAAAACCGAGGAAAGCATCTATTAAAGCTTGTCTAATATCACCTTTTTTATAAGCTTCTGTCTGTTTGATAAAATCAGGAAGGTTACGTGCGCAATACGTCGCAACCTCGTGTCCTCCATGACCGTCGTACACAGCAAACAATGAAACATTCTCATCAAAATCTATGCAACAATTGTGAGCATCCTGCAAAGAAAGTTACAATTAGTAATCTTATCTTTCTCATAAAAGATTCCTTTTTCACTCCAGAAAGATTGTAATTTGGTCTTCTCCTCATCAGCTGAACTTGTTGCACAGTTCACTTTTCCTCGTTTTCCTCTCCACATTGGAAGAAAAAAGAAAAAAAATAAATGCAAGAAATTCAACTAAAGAGTCTTAACTAAAATTAGTAACTTGGATCCAGGGCAAATTATACAGGGCAATTATACACTTAGTACGATTGATGTGAGATTATAGATAAAAGAAAACTTTGAACCTTCTTTTGTCAAGAGTCATAAGATGGAGGTTCATTTGTATTCTAACTTCAAACAGGATGCTCCATAGCCGATAATCAAATAATTGTTTTACTACAAGAAAATTGATACACACCAACTTGCCCAGATAATCTCAATTTATTTCCATTTAATAACGGTAATAAATTCCAATGATATCAACGAACAGGGAAAGATAAAAGAATAATTATTGCATAATAACTTTGTCGTCCACACACAGGAGGAAAGTAATAACCGATACTATACAGTAGACGATATCGAAGAAAGTAAAAATTGCCAATAAGATAATAATTTTTCCAACGAAAACAATCCCGCGATAATATTGATCGACGATGTTGCAAGGATCTCATCTAATCGAGCTATCTCGTCTGTTGGTAAATAAACGCCGAAGTGGCAAGGAAGCCATCCGCACGAGCGTCGGATGCTGCGCCCGGGGCTCTCGGAAGAGCATGGTGGCCGGGTGACCGGCAAAAGTGGCAAAACACGCGGAGCCCGAAACTAGGTAACATTGCGATAAACGCGGGCGCGCTCGCTCGCTCGCGCGCGCGCGCGCGACCGTTGCCGCCGTCGCCGCCGCGACGACACACAACTTCCCGCTTACCTCCTGACTGATCCGCCAGCCCTGCATGGAGCTCGCACCGTACGCGACATTCTTGCCCACTTCGTCGCTCGACTCCTTCTTCGTAATCGGCTCTGACAAGTACGCTCCCATCTTTTAAAATACCGGCTGGCCGTCGTGCTACTCCCGCGGCGTCCGCGTAATGTGTCGCAACGTTTCCGCCAGAAAACAGAACTCACAAGCGTGGTGCCACAGTCGTTAACTAGCCTCCCATGACCGGTTTAGCTTTCTGTTTTCTGAGCGCGCTGCTGGCGCCAGCTGGGTCGTCGGAGCCGCCGCCGTCATCGCCGACTTGGACGCGCGCGGCGCGCGCTTTCGCGCCAAACTTAAAGCGACGTGCGCATGTAATAAGAGTCGAACGACCGGATATGCATTCCATTCTATTTCCAAGTCTGTACTCCCTGCATTTGTGTATCGTATCAGTCGCGGATGTCCATTTCTACTTATATTGTAGTACATATGTAGATCAACTTTAATCTCTCTCTCCTCTCAATTTAACTTTAAAAAAAATTTTTTATAACAAATTTTTATATTAGAATCTTATGCAGGTTTCCATGCTCCTTATAGAAATTAATTGATTTATATATTTATATCTTTTTTAAGAATTCTCGAAACTAGAATAAAATGAAGAGTTGAGTTGGGATTAAAAATAATTTTTATTTGTAAAAATATGTATAACAAAGTCGCGATGTGGGAATTACCGCTTGTGTGATTTGAAAAAAGATGTGACAATTAACGTATTCTTTTTGCAATTGCTTTAATTGTACTAACAATTTATAACAATTAACAATACCGATTTCGAATGGTTGAGATAATTATAATAATTATATAATATAAAGTACGATCCCCCTTTCATCAACATAAGTTATCGCTTTGAAAGTTATTCGATCGAGGCAATTCAGGTGTCAAACAGAGAAAAATCAAATAAATTGAATTTCAAAAATAAATTTAAATCTTATTATTTCATATAAAATTAAACAATGTTCGAAATTGTACCACCTTATCCTAGGTCGATAGTTACAAAATATTTCAGCACATTATCTTTATTAGGCATCAAATTATGAATAAATAGTGCATTTTATTAATAATACGCATTAATATTAAAACGTATCTCGTTCAATAACGAAGTATGTTCGTTTATTTATTATTATCATAGATATATGTAGTGTTATTCTGGTTCTTGGGACTTTTATTTTCAGTTCTCGAACCAGGTGAAATTACAATATGAGCCGATTCAGTAGAATATTTATAACTTTTAGTCACACTTAGTGAATTTGCTCTCTTTTAATTTTCACCTCGTTTTAAGAAATAATAAAATTAACTTCAATTTTGGTTTAATTCATTCTTTGACCTATTAATTAAAACATGCTTAATAACAATGTTAGCGCACATTTAGCACAATTGTAATTTAAAGATTTATACACAGGACTATGTATCCGAAATGTTATACCTTTATCGATAAGTGTGCTTTTATTTCTGGAATTCTTTGAGTATATATAACGTAAACTATATATGTACATACTAAATGCCTATTACATAGTTATAAACGCGTTCTAAATACGATTCATATAATTTCAAAAATAAAAAAGCATAGATAAAAGGCAATAAAAGCGCGCATTTCTAGATAAAAACACATTTTGAATAAGTATGAACTATCATTTTCCTGTATATTTTAGAATTAAAGAAAGATAAAAAGTAAATGAAATCACTATTAAGATTAATTTACATTAGTAAGAAATGTGAATCTACTATCAAAATAGATTAACTAATTTTTTCTAATTTTTTAGAACTAGAAAAGAATTAAAAATAATAGTTAAACTGATTGTGAGATTAAAATTTTTACTCTGAAATTCTTAACGACAGTGTAATAATATCATTATATTGTCGTTGCGTAGATTTTTAGTATGAACGATATCTGCGCAACGATAATGTACATTATCGTTATTGTCCATTTTTATCTATTAATGTAGATAAACTTTACTTGTAACTTAACTTACGTTTTATCTTTTTCTAGTTCTAAAAATTAAAATAGGATAAAAATAAATTAACTTTAGAAGCTAGAAGCACGTTGTAGAATAAAAATTAAACTAATATAAAAATTGCTCTATACATTCGTAGAAATAAATGTATAGAATAGGACTGAAATTTCTTGTTTGTAAAAATGTATATATTTGTTTCTATCAATGTGTAAAATGTAGATTAATTTTAACCTCGGTTTTATCTACTCTTTACTAAAAGTTAATTTATATTAACAGAACGCGCAGTAAAGATCTCAGCAAAGTGAAGTTGACAGAATGCGGAGAATATCGAGGCGATGTTTCAAAATATTTACTGTCAACTGTCAGTACCGAAAATCTATAATTTACATCACGTGCAGTATAGATTTTCACTGACGGTGAATTTTGGAACTCGGTTCGAGTCGCTTTTGAATATTCCGCGCTACGTTCAGGGTGAGGGAAGATAACGCGGTCGCTACAATCGCGACGAGTGTGGGTATCGTGCGGGTAGGTGTCGCGTCTCTTCACGGCACCTACGCCGGAGGGGATAAATGGCGACGGCGGGGAGGGGAGGGAGTACGGGAGTACGGGAGTAGTGCGCCGGGGTGGTCAAGCGGAGCCCGCCAGTCGTTCGGCGGAGCTCGGGGAGGTTAGGTCGGGCCACGCACCCCCGGATGCGAATGCTCGGTGGTACGGCATCCCGCGACAGTCGACAGACGGCAGCGGATACGCGACGCGGAGTCGCGCGATTACAACGGTGCCGCCGAGTACCGGTCTCGCTCCCTATCTCGTGCGCTCGCTGGCGAGCGTTCAACGTTCTCGCCGCTGCGAGTCGATCTCGTCTGAGTAACGGGGGCGAGCCTCGCTACGCCCGCTCATCCCAGCTAGTCGAGTCTCATCCCTTCGACGTCTCGCCACCGTCGCCGCCGCCGCCGCCGCCGCCACCACCACCTCGACTAGACAACGTACGCGCGGCTGGCTGTATCACCGCGGCCGTCGGTGCATCGCACTCGCTGCACCTGTCGATACGTAGCACCAAAGGGAGCGAGGACAAACCAGTACCGTGTGTTCCCGGCCTAGTGACCTGACCTTGGATCGGTCCGACCAGGTACGTCTGTCACTACTTACACCACACGCTCATGCCGCGTACGACGTTTTCCCTCCGGTCGAAAACGTCTCCTCCGGAGATATATTCGGATTATGGCGGTGTGTGGTGGTGCGGACGCGACGATGTCTCGAGATTGGTTGCGATACTATGGCAGGAACACGCATATCCCCCGCTAATTCAGGATGCTTAACCCGCGTACGTGTTGCGGGTAAGAGGATTTGCAGCTTGCGTTTAGTGATAGGCTTAAGTCGTCTCGGATGCTCGGTACATCTACATGCATACATATATGACGGTATATATCTTTTACGCGTTTCCCGATGCAACGACCCGTTCCACACTCGACGAATGTACTGGTTGTATATCGATCTAAAAACATTTCCCGCACCGCGAATCGAGCGAATTCCCGTGCAATTTCAAAACGACGCTCTCGCCCGCGTGGCTCAGTGGTTTACGGACTAATTCTTTTTAATCAGAATTACCATGGGGAAAATTTTCTCGTCGATCCGAGAGAACTTTCCGCGGTGGAGGAAAGTTTTTATCTTTTGGCTTTTAGCTCGCGACGGTCCCGCTGCGGTTCGCGGATAAAGGCGCACTAAGCGCGGAAATGTAGCGAAATTCCTCGGCAAACGAGTATCCTTAACCATGTATATACCTGCAATTAAACTCTTCCCGGGAGCATTTATCCGTTATCACGCGAAAGCGCGGGCCGAGCTGTCTAACTAGTAAAGTATCGCTCCATCGCGCGTGGTACCGCGCGCGATGTCTGACCCGTCGCGTCGTCGTCTACTGCCGTCGAGCGTCTACCTCTACTACTGATGTGATCATTAGTTTCTCTCGTTACATGAAATGTGTTCTCGTCGTCGAGTGAACGCTCGTTCCTTATTTACCGCGGAAAACTGACGAAAGTAGAGAATACTGCACACGTAATCATGACTTTGCTGTTACTCTGGCTTCGAGATAGGATGTATTTTTCTTGTTACATAGAAAGATGTTCCGGTTGTACCAATAAGAAACACAAACAAAACCAATTCTGATCGTACGAATCGGAATTCTGCTCATCGTAATTGAATTTCTGATTATCTTCACTCTACAATGTTTAACTATTTGTCTGATATTTTCACTTTTCTAATTGTATGTACCAGAGAAGAGTACCGATATTAGAATTCTATTTAATTCAACAAGACTTCTTAACTATAAATGTCTGATTTGTATCTTTATGGTTGAATCCACCAGAATTCCGATGAATGCGACAAAACTTCTTAATCTTTATAAGTGTTTGATTTGTACTTTTCTAATTTAATCTATCAGAAGTTCTTGGACTTTCAACGAACGTAAGATTTTTTTTTTATATAATACACGAATTCTCTCTTCTAATTCTTGCTGTCCGAAGCACAGATGCGGGATGGAATTTTAAGACGCATCCGCATTTGGAAATTGAGTTAAAATTAATTAAATGACGCAGAGATACCAGAGATTATATGTACAAATATATCGCGTGCGCGTCATGACAGGATTCATTCAATTTGCCCGCGGGCGTTTCTATTTCGCGACAAGTTGCAAAGTGCCGTTTGCAGGAGGTCGATGGCAAGTGTCCAAATGCGAAGCAGAATAAGCGTACGTAATCTTACAACGTTGGTTTTAATTATCTCGTTTGATCCGCCCATCTAGAAGTCATTATTTGCTCTATGCAAACTGTTGCACGTGTGCCATGCGACAAATTCACCTTCGATTTTGAGCCACGTGAAATAATAAAAAAAGTACGTCTAAATGATGTGCGAGATCAATATTTTATAACTATTGCGCATTGTTAAAAGCAACCTTTTTATAACGGACATTTTTGGGAAAAACAAAACGGTGTTGTCTTACGAAATTATATTCAAGCAGTAACAGCCTTTTCTAAGGCTGATATTCATAGTTGATTCTTATATTGAGAATGTCTTAAGTACAATCTTAAGATGCCATCAAAAGACTGCATTAGCATATCTTAC